GTTCATGATACATTCCAAAATCACTATTTTCTACAATATCATTTTCTGGTTCAGGCAAGTTGTTTTCAACACATGTATTTAAAATTTTAGAGGCTGTAATTTAGCATGCCGTGTAGTAGACATCAGAACCTTATTTTAAGAACACCATTGCAACGTTCAATTAGGCTTCTTACAGATTTATGCCTAGTATTATATCTTGCTTCTGATGTATTTGGTTGAGGTTCGGGGATAAGTAACCATGTCCTTAATGGATAGCCAGAATCACCTAAAATAAACAATTAAATATAGATGAAATATATTTTATAACTGCTTGTGCTAATCTATACAGCACAGTAATTTTAAATAAGTTGAAGCATACACTATAAACCATTTGCATGCACCAAATTATACATTTTTTTCACTAGTTAATTAACTTATACAAAAAAGTTTATTGAAATAAGTACCAAACTTATTTTCATCAGGCAAATAAAAAACATAGAAATTTGATATTTTTTCAAACAATTGTATTTTCATATCGACCCTAAACTTTTTCAATTTAGTTTTCAATAGTTCTCGAAAAGGAGAGAACGTATTTTGCCTAATTTAAGTCCTTAAAATATAATGGACGTTTGAGTTACTCCATACAAATGCATCATTAGTGCTTCCTGAATAAAGAGCGTTGACGTTCAATATTTTCAAATTATGATCGCAAATCTAAAATAATTCTATATGAGCCCAAAATTATATAATAATTATTATATTCACAACAAACCAATTGTACATTTATTGAATGATAATTTTTTCTATTTACATATAAATGCTCAGGATACACTGGATCATTAATTTTTGGGGGAAAAATAGCTATATGGGTGCAGTCAATGCATCCTATAATTCCAGGAAAATCATACTTCATGAAATACCAAAAATAGTTTTACGGATACAATAAACATTTGATTTAAAACATAAATTTACCTTTTTCTTATCTCATTCAGCCCTTGCATATTTTGTAGCCATTTTACAAACTGGCAAAAATTTCTGGTCGGTTTATAGTATCCACAACTTCATGGATACAACGTGATACGGAAGATTGCGACACTTTGAAGTGGTAATTACTTCCAATGTCCAATTGATAAATGGATAACTACCACTAGCAAAAAACCTCAAGCAAATTAATATCTGTAAATAAAACATACATTAATTATTATTTCAATTCTTGTACAGTAATACATATGTAAAACTGTACATTTAACTTTGGTTCTAAATCTGTTCCTATTTGTTGAAGCTGGATGTAGGGACGTAGAGTTTCAACCAATGACAACTTATTCCTTTGAAAGTCAAGTCCGAATCTTCGAGGATTTCTACCTTCCAAGTTTTCCAGTTGTTCAATTAATAATAATTGAAAGAAATTCCAAGTCACTGTCCTTTTTTTTTAATACTACAAACCGTATTAATAAGATATTAGATATTTGTAAGTCTCGATAAAAAGTAGATATAAGCAGCAAAGTAGTTAATTTGTTAAAATCAATCAATATCACCTAAAGTTCTGAAATAAACATAAAAGTGACATATATCTATATCTAATGTCATGTCATTAAAATATGCACGTTTTATGAAAAACGTGTGAAAAATTCCGCTCGCTTTAAAATACCCGTTTTAAAAATGTACACGCTTTTAAAACGAATGTCGAGAATAGAGAACCGCTCGCATGTTGCTAAAGCGTATACGTTTTTTAGAAAACGATAGCCAAGGAAAGGGCCCCTGCCGTTTCTTCTCAAATATACCATTCTAACAGCTCATCAGTATGGCTTCCTACCTAAACAATGCACAAGCAAGGCAATGTTTTCCGTTCTTAATAAAATATATACATCACTTAATGATAAACTCTTCACGGATTTTGTATTTTGTGACTTCGCAAAGGCCTTTGATTTGTGTTAACCATAAAATTTTAATTAAAAAACTACGAAAAATTACCTGGAAAATAGAAATAAACAGGTGCGGGCGAATGGTAAGGATTGTACAAATAACCAATAAGCAGTGGAGTACCACAAGGTTCAGTATTAGGTCCAATTTTATTTTTATTATTTATCAACGATATCACAGACTAAGTGGTAGAATTACTTTAGTTGCCGATGGTACGAGTGTAACCTGGAATTAATTCTGACATGCAGACAATCTATCATAAGCAAAGATCTAGTGACTATTAAGACCTAGTCTGATTCGAATTGGCTTTGTTTCAATACCAGTAAAACTGTAGCATTATCTTACAGAGGTACTTTACAACCTTTAACTCTAAACAACAAGCCGATTCTAACAGTGAATTTAATTAAGTTCTAAAGTCTTTATTTAGACGATTTCCTAAAATGGTCTGCTCATATTGATATCTTAGCAAAAAAAATATCCTCTGCATATTTTGCCATTAAATCGGTTTCCAAAGAGCTGACCTCTTCTACTGCGTTAATAATCTACTTTTCCTTATTCGAATCTCACTTTTGCTATGGTTTACCTTTCTGGGGTTCTAGTTTCAAATTACAAAATAGAGCAATTCGCTATGGATTTGGATTAAGTAGTAGGACACATTGTGAAAATTACTTTAAAAAATTCAAAATTCTAACTCTTCCTGCTATTTATGTTCCCAACAAGCACATTCAAAATTTATCGGAAAGACCAACTCGTAGATAACCGATTTAGATACTGATGTTTATTTAACAATTCCTACCTCTGACCTAATAAAGAATATCACCCATAATGCCAAAAAAATGTATAATTGTATAACCTTTTGATACAGTTAAAATCTATAAATAAATATGATAAGTTACGAACATCAACTAAGGCTTTTCTTCAAAATATACCATATTATACAGTAGCAGAATTCTATAACGTGCCATATACTTTTGGGTTCCACATGCAGAAGCATTAATTAAATTCCAAAACTGTGACATTAATATTAAAATTAACATTATAATGATGGATATTGCATATCCGGGGCAATTGTTATTTCTATTTTGTTTAGTTATTCTTATATCTTCAACCTCAAATGTATTTACTATTTTTATGGATGGTGTTATGAATTGATGGAGCGATTATTTGGAAACCCTCATTTTATTTCATTTTTGTCACAATAATCAATGTTTTGTTCCAGCCGAGTGCTGAATTTGGGAAAAGAAAATATTATATTTCCGTAATTTTGTTTTGTTTTCGGGTACCTACTGTAAATATAACATTTTATTCAAGGGTTCACTATTACGGAATGTTAGTAATTGTTGTTCTATATTAATCTATTAGGGGGACTTTAAATTTTTAGTTTATTTTAAACTGATTTGGGTTTTTGTACTTTTTTGGAACTGCTGGAGGCGCTGAGGGAAGTTTTTTATTGATCTCCAATGAGCTGGATACCTCACTTGTAAGGGTGGAAGTAATTTAGCTCAATATAGTCTAAACGCCATATTTGGGAAAGCTATGATGGAGAACGTGAAGGTAGACTAGGGAAAAGTGTCATTCTGGGAGCTGCTAAGTTAATTCTTTGGTTTTTTGTTATGTAATAAAACCTTTCGTTATTTAACTCACATTTCAACATTTCACCATTTTATTATTTTTATTTTATGAGTTTACCTTATGCCTGTTGGTATAATAATGTACGCTAGTGAAGCATATGACATTGATCACTCTATTAAACTTTTATTTTACTTATAGTTTCTGTGTTGAATAACTAAAACACTATATCTTTTACTTGAAGGTATACAGTTGTATTTAATTACCCAACTTTGCTAGATTTTAGTACATATAGTAAGTACGGCAACCGGTTACTAGGTAGGTAGTTTTAGAGAAACACCTATATAACGAGTCTAAGGTATTTTGTTACCTATTCTTTTTTAACTAGGTTTATTTTGTAACTTAGTAAAGGAATATAACTTAGTCGGTTTTACGGGTCAATAATCTGTTTTGTTATACTCTGTTATTAAAAGTAGAAGAAGAACTGATTTATGTGAAATAAAGAAGTGTAAGTTAAGATTGTCTTTTATTCCCTCAGCCTTTATTAGATTTAAGATAGGATTGTTTTACTTTATTTAAAGCTCAGCTAAATCTAATTGGCGTCCCCCTTATAAAACAAAACATTAGTAATCCCAGATTACCATTCCCATCTCCACAAGTGAACCGGGGCCACACGGTTGACATTTGGGACAACCTATAAACAAAAACAACGATATAAGCGATATGAATGTATGCAAATTATATAATAATATTTATATTATTAGAAAAAAAGCTCACCTTTGGTCGTGTGCCGCACTTTTTCTGAGATGTCTGATTTTTAAAAAAAATAGAAATTTGAATATTATGAATTTTAAGTACAACACACTACGAACGGCAGCTTTTCAGTCTGGAGAGCTAGGGTGAATTTGGAATGAAATTAATGTGTTTGAGTAAAGTAACAATGTCGAGCGCCATGCAACTTTAATAAATAAATGTCAATATCAAAAACTATAAGACTAAAACTTTCCCAAGTTGCAAAATTTAAAGTTACTTACAATGATTGTATAAATGAAAAGTTTGATATTGACCAATATTCAAATAAACAATGATAATTAACTTATCTGAAAGGGGAAAATTTATGTACCAAAAAAAAAGAAAAGAAACAACCTATTATGTCACTCTCAATTTATTTTCAAATTATACTCAAAATATGGTTTTTGGTTTTGTTTATATGTAAATGATGACCTTTATCAACTTAACAATCGCAATAGTTGAAGTTAATGATTACAATTGTAATTTTTAATTATTATAGTTAATTAGAAAAAATGTATAATATTAAATAATTGTACTACTTGGTTCCTAGGAGTAGGTCACATGGAGTAGTATGCAGAACTGCAGACGAACGTACCGTATTTTTGAAAGTCAAACAACCGCGCCTCTTACCTACCTGTTCCATCCCCAACTGTTAACTGTCATTGCAAAATTGTACGTCGACGTATTGTGTTGTTTTGCCGTTTTCTTCGTGAAAGTGAAAATTGTGAATTGTTTGAATGATGGTTAAGCGCAAAAGAGGAATGTTGGATAAAATGCGGAAAAAGCTAAAGCTATTTCAAGAACAATTAGATAATATGCTTTCTGGTGAGTACAATTTTTTTTTTATGTAAAAGTGTAAAAACAAAGTGACCTTGAGTGAAAACTGAAAACACCGGTATCTGGTGTATCGATATACCTTCGCTTTGCGATAGAATATTAAATACCCGGTTAATAAATCAAACTAAAAAGTTTCTGCTTTGCAGTAAACAGGTTAAAAAATAAGCAAATATGAAACAAAGAAAATATTTTTTATTTTGCAATATCGCTTTGCGATTGTTGTTAAAAAGACATATTCTTATCTTGGATATCCCTGCTTTGCAGTGAGATAACTAAATCCAGGAAATAGGCTACTTTGTAGCCATAAAATAAAATGAGGGAGAGTGGGGCATATTTTGCCAATACAAAAATATTCAAAATCATTTTTGATTTTTACTATACAGGACCTCCTTTCTTCTTTCTTTTATACCAGGAGGCGTCTTCGTCAGACTCCACTTCAACTTCAAATGACTATGCATCTGTCTCTGACACCGAAGTTTCAAAACAACCCCTAATTTCTACTGTTCAGGCTGATGTGCATTGCACAAAAGACGGGGATTTAACAGACGTTCTTGGAACTGACCCTAATAAGAAGTTCGCAGAAGGAAAACAGATTCCAGAACAACTGGCAACCCGGTGGACTTGTTTTTTACAGAAGGGTTTTGATCGACAGATGGAAAATACTCTCTTAGAACAATGGAATTTCTCTACAAATTGTTCAGCACTTCAGAGTCCCATAATGAATCCGGAGATTCTGTCACTCCTTCCAGATTTTAATCAAAAACAAGATACTTTTTTCTCAAAGTTACAAGATCAACTTGGTTTAGGCCTAAGTGTTTTAGGCCAAGTATTTGACACAGTAAAATCAGACAACATAGACCCTAAGGCGCTGCTGTCAATGATTTCCGATGCCTCAAAGTTTTTTTCAAAGGTACATTATAAAATTTCGGGCCATAGAAGAATGTCAATTATGCCATTTGTTGACCAAAAAATCCAAAAGATATTAAATAACACTGCTGTAGAGGGAAATCTTTTTGGCCCGAACTTAGCAGATTTATTAAAACAAGCTCAAGAAGCAGACAAATTAAAAACAAGATTGAAGCCATCCAGAGAACGGGACCAGAATAATTTTTTTCCTCGGGGCAGTACCTACAAGTTTCGGAAGAAAAATTTCCAGGGGAGAATAAAATCAGGAGCAAGGAACAGGGAATATTTCAAGAACAAAGAAAACAACCGAATCAATCAGAGGAAGAAGATCCCGCAATCGAGATACCGCTAAAAGAGGTAAAATATGCAGGTCAATTAAAGTTTTTTAAAGATAACTGGGAACAAATTACCTACAACAAAATTATACTGCAGTGGCTTGGAGGGTATAAAATTCCATTCAAGTCTCGACCTTTTCAAGCCAAAGATCCTGCTATGAAAGTAGTTTCTGTTTCAGAACTCACAATATTAAATACAGAAATTAAAAAATTGTTATTAATAGGTGCAATTAGACAATGCAATCCTGAAAAATCCCATAGTACAAGGCATGCTGCTTCATCAGCTGCCTTTAAAGCTGGGGTTTCCATAGATACAATTAGAAAATCAGCTGGGTGGTCTAATAAATCCAATGTTTTTCATACCTTTTACCATAGACCTCTAAAAAAGGAAACAGAATTTGATGATGCAATTGTAGGTTTACTACACACATAGATGTGTTCTAAATTTTTCTTTCAAATATTTAAAAAAAAAATGTTTATTTGTTTATATTTACTATTTGATGTTTTGTGTTCAAAATGCACATTAAATGTTTTTCTTTGAAACACCTTCTGACTTATTTTCTGTTTTTGATTATCTTTAAACAGCTACTCCATGTGACCTACTCCTAGGAACCAAGTAGTACAATTATAGGATTAAACGACTTACCTGGAAGGAAGTTCAATCCAAATTGTACTAGTGGTTCCGTAGAGTAGGTCACTCCCAACCCTCCCTTCCCATTAAATCAAAACCAAAAAATAAATAAGGATAAATTTTGCAATGACAGTTAACAGTTGGGGATGGAACAGGTAGGTAAGAGGCGCGGTTGTTTGACTTTCAAAAATACGGTACGTTCGTCTGCAGTTCTGCATACTACTCCATGTGACCTACTCTACGGAACCACTAGTACAATTTGGATTGAACTTCCTTCCAGGTAAGTCGTTTAATCCTATAAATATTAATACTACAGAATATCTTTTATAGCTATGTTCTAAATTATGTACCAAATTATAATCATCAGTAATGTTATATTTAAATTAAATAGTTAATAAAAAAAATGTATTATTCTTTGGTGAACTCGTGGTTCGATCACTGGACTTAAATAAATATCCTTAAATCTAGGTTGACTCCATTTGTGACGGATTGTCCATAGGAAAGGTACAGCTGAATGTAGTTGTGAACAGCAAACTACGTCTCGCAGAATACTTAGCTGGACTTTGAACTATGTTAACTTATACAGCATGGAAGACGAAACCAAATGCGACTACTACAGCTATTCCAATATTAATCGATGTAATAAACAGGACGACAATATTCAAGATATTGATTATGGATATCTTGATATAATTAAGTACTTCAGAAACCATCAAGCGATGTAGTACAAGAAAATATAGAAGGCGTGCTTTCTACCGGATTATGTCAAACTGTAGGTCCCTGATAAAAGAAATACGGAAATAATATCTATCCAACTTAGGGTTGAAAAGTCAATCCAATTGTATGAAGATGAAATAGACTGGGTTGAAGAAGGAGAAGGTACTTCTATAGGTCAATTTAGCGGTGCATAAGATCTTGAAGCTGCAGATGTATCGTAGTTTTGGTAACGGTAGGAAGCTTGTTGTTGAAGTCGGTGTCCTTGAGCAAATATATACAGACGAGGATTAGGAAATATTGTAAACTAAGGCTGAGATAACGGATAATAGAAAGGTTGAGAGACTTTTCGTTTTTCATCATTTAAATTGGAAATGAGTTGTAACACCCCCATTTAAAATTTTAAAACTTTCTGGTCATTAAACATTTCCAACGCAAGCATCATCCCATGAAAAAAATATAAATATCTATTTGGCACATCGTTAAAGAGCTCCCAATATCTTTATTTCTGATTCATCAGACCGTTTCTGGCGCATTTTTGAAGAACAATCCATATTCTTGTCAGATTTTCTGATTGGAGTGGATAGAGTTGAATTTTCATTGGTGTCAATGTCACCTTGGAGTTCAGGGTTATCAGTTTCGCCATTGTCTCTTACAAAATTGTCTTCAACGTTCCTTGTTGTATATATATATTTTTTAATTTTAGTTGGTCACTGTAAACATACTTTTTAAGTTTAGAGACCCCAGCACCAGATTTTGTTTTTTCTTTCTTTTTTTGCAAAACTACACAAAGGCATCTCGAATATTTGTCCACCCTCTCATTATTTATTTTCCTGTAATAATGAACAGAAATGTCAAAATCTTGTATGAAGTTACAATAAGAAACTTAGTAGATTCTTCGTTTAGGTATCTTGCAAGTGGCTTCTCATTCACAGATCTTTAGTACACATACAGGATCAGTATTTCTACAGCTAGTATAATAGTAAAACAAGTTTGTAGAGCTATCTGGATAGTAATGAAATCAGAATTTCTACCCACCCCTTCGAAAGAACAGTGGGGAAAAATATCTTTGGATTTTGTAAAAAATGCTAATTTCCCACACTGTATAGGGGCGGTGGACGGAAAA